GAACAGACTTGTACTACTTGGCCGTCTCTAAATGAGGATCTGGGTAAGCTGCTGTCCTTGAATATCACTGCCGAGGAGTTCAAAAAGGCTTTCTTTCATATGCCTTCTTTGAGAGCCCCAGGTCCAGATGGGTTTCCAGCTCTATTCTATCAAAAAAATTGGGAACTGATCAGCCAACAACTCTTTGCTTGTATGGAATTCTATCTTCATAATCCGAGGCAGATTCAGGAGATCAATCAAACATTGATTGCACTCATCCCTAAGGTTGATAGGCCATGCTTGATGAAGCAATTTAGACCTATTGCCCTTTGCAATAATGTCTATAAAGGGTTGAGTAAGATTCTGGCCAATAAGTTAAAACCCCTACTGGGTGATCTAATCTCTCCTAACCAGGCAAGTTTCATTCCTGGACGACACATCCAGGATAATATTATCATAGTCCAAGAGCTAATCCATGCCATGCATAAGATGAAAGGCAAGAAGGGTTTCTTCTCTATGAAGATTGACTTGGAGAAAGCTTATGACAAGCTTGATTGGAGGTTCATCAAGACAGTCTTGGAAGAGTTGAAGCTGCCTGGAGAGTTCATTGCTGTTATAATGGGTTGTGTTTCTAGTCCTTATCTCGAAGTACTGTGGAATGGAGCTCGAACTCAAGGGTTTTATTCTCAGAGGGGAGTGAGGCAAGGGGACCCTTTATCCCCCTACCTTTTTGTCCTATGCATGGAGAAGCTCACTCATTTAATAATGGATGAGGTTGAGAAAAAGAAATGGCTCCCTATTAAAGCTGGAAGGACTGGCCTTTAGTATCTCACTTGCTTTTTGCAGATGACATTGTGCTGTTTGCAGAGGCATCCATCAGCCAATTGGAGTGTGTAACTAGCTGCCTAGATAAGTTTGCAAGGATGTCTGGACAGAGTATTAGCCTGGAGAAGTCATGCATTTACTTTTCAAGGAATGTAGATCCGGTAGTAGAAGACTTAATCTCCAGGGTCAGTGGTTTTAAGAAAGTTAGAAATTTTGGTCGTTACCTGGGAGCTCTTATGAGACATGGGAGAGCAAAGAAGGACCACTATGCAGAAATCATTTCAAGTGTCCAGAATAGATTACAGGGATGGAAGTCCAAGTGTTTGTCTTTGGCTGGTCGCATCACTCTGGCCAAGAGTGTCATTTCTGCCATACCAGTTTATCAGATGCAGAATAGTATGATACCTGTCCATGTTTGTAATGAGATAGAGAAAATGCAACACAACTTTATTTGGGGAGACACTGAGGAGAAAAAAGAGCTCATTATATGGCCTGGGACCATATGTGCCTTCCAAGAGAGAGTGAGGGTCTTGGAATCATCAAGCTCAGACTTCAAAATGAGGCATTCATGCAGAAAATTTCTTGGCAGCTTATAAGCAATCAAGATAGCTTTTGGGCTAAAGTGATTCTTGGAAAATATGGCAGGAAGCAAGATCCCAACAGAAACTTTCTAGCTAGAAGTAGTGATTCCCCCTTGTGGAAAAACATTTGTTTGGCCAGAGAAAAGTTATCTCAGAATCTATCTTGGATCTTAAGTAATGGTGAGTCTATCTTCTTTTGGACAGACAAGTGGGGAGAATGGCAGAATAGCTTGTTTGAGTTAGCCAGAATTAAACCTCCAATTTCATACCTGGAGATGAAAGTCAGCAGTCTTGTAGACCCTGTTACAAGGGACTGGAGTTGGGGTCAGCTGGAGCAATTCCTGGATGGGGCTACTCTTAGCAGATTAAAAGCTATACAACCACCTGATCCAGATACAGTAGATGATTGGCTCATTTCGAGAAGGAACTGTCCTAACAAATCATTGGTTCAGAATGCTTACTGTCAGCTTACAACAACCACATTGGGTGTAGACAGATTCTGGTCCAAGCTTTGGAAATGGAGAGGTCTTTATAGAATAGCCATTTTTGTATGGCTAGCTTGTCTGCATAAAATACCGGTGAAAAGTTACACCTGTCATTGGAGTGGAGGTGAGTCTTGTTGTCCGATTTGCTTATCTGGTCAGGAGACAGTGCTCCATGTGCTCCGGGTTTGTAAAAATGCTAGGAGTGTTTGGGAATTGTGGTTTGAAGGTAATATCCCTAACTATTTTCTGTCTACTGATGGTTCTGATTGGTTTAGACTCAATATATCATCTCCTTTCTCTTCAAAGTCTTGGAAATTCTGGCAAGAAGTCTTTTATGTATCCACTTGGTTGTTCTCATGTGTACATGATGCTTCCTTCACTTGGCCGAAAGATCCAATGCACAGGATCATGCACTACTTGAAAGACTTGAAGCAGAACTGTGATGTTGTTCCCTTCTCTGGTAAGCCCGCGCCTGATCTAGTATTGGGGAGCTCTAGCCAGCACTATAGGAAGGAAGGAATTAAAATATTTGTAGATGGAGCTGTCAATTTTTCCTCAAAGATTGGTACCTGTGGAGGAGTTATTTGCACGCCCAATGGAGAATGGGTGGGTGGCTTTTCTCTTAATATTGGACCTTGTACCCCTTTGGAAGCAGAGTTATAGGCAATCACCCAAGGACTTAAAATTGCTGCAGAACTTAATCTTACGAACGTGTGGATGGGCAGTGACTGTAAGGATGCTATCCTCTGTGCTGATCCCACGACTGATTCAGATATTTACTCTCCTACTGTGTTGAGGCTGATAGGAGAAATTTAGTCTTTCAATCAAGTTCAGCTGGAATTCATTCCGAGAGAGCTTAATAAGTGTGCTGACAATTTAGCTAAAATAGGTTTTACATGTAGGGTAGGTGAGCTGTTGTTTTTTCCAGCTCCTCCCACTAGCACTTTTCCTTTTTGGCAAGAACTCTGTAATTACCTTTTGATGGATCATGTTCATTTGAACATGAATCAACTTACTATATAGTTTTCCTGGGCTAGGCCCTCCATTTTTATAAAAAAAAAATAAAAATTGCTGAATATACTCACGTAATGTAGCTGTTTGAGTCAACTTGGATAAAGCACCCTACAAGTTTGTAAAGCCCGAAATGCCAAAATGCTGACGCACCACTATGGTGAACTCCCACCAAGAACAAGTTGTGCCGCTGTTGAGTGTCCACTGGAAGTCTGGAACCAAGACGCGGCCATGCCCTCTATCTTGAGACCTGCTAGCGCCACTTTAGCTTATTCAGGAATGTTCGGAATGTTGAAAAAAAGTTCTGTTTTGAAGATCTAGTTATTTGGATCATTGCCATTGAATAAGGGAATTTTAATACGAACTCCCTTTAATTGAACACGCTGGTCTCCAACTTTTGGTCACACTGGAATATAAGAAGAAGAGTTGGTTTCCATGTATGATTGGAAACTGGAAGAATCCCGTGAGTGACCATTTCTTGAAATCACCAATTCTTGAAGTTGTTGCATTTGAGCGATCAAGAAATCAATATGGTTCCTTGTATCAGTCGCTTGAATTTGAATTTCCTCCAAGCTGGCATCGACTCTGTGTTGAAAGGAACTCAGTTCTTCCGATAATTCTTACACCTTTATGATGTTAATGCAGAGAATGAAAGGGATGAAAGCACCAATGTTAAGGGTAGGAATCCTTAAAGAGAAAACAGAGGAAAAGGAACGAAGGAAAGCTTCAGATTATTATTCAGGTATCCAAAATGTTATACAGACTTATCATTTTATACACTTGTGACAACTACAGTTCCCTAGACGTAACTACCTAATAACTGCACTAATAGCATCCTAACAAATCAATTGTAACTGCATCACATGCTTACAACACAATGGACTCAACTAACAGCTTTTAGTAATCATCATCTCCGAAGCCTAACACACACACACATATAGGAATTAAGCTTGGTCGAAGTTGGTGATTGATGCATTATCGTAGCAGGATCCATTGCTTAGCTACGCGTTTATGTTAGGCATTATTATTTTTTTCTTTAACTATTATATTTATTTGTTTCTTAACACTTATAATTACTAATGTATCAATATTAAAAGAAAAACAACTCTCATGACACACGTTAATTTATAGGAAAAAATATTTCTACTTTATTACAGAAAAAATTTGTCTGCATACTCATATAAAAGTGAGTGATTCTCATTAATCTTTTCTGTCTCTTCTCTTTACAATGAGACCCACTCACTTTTATGTGAGTGTATAGAGAAATTGTTTCTACAACAAATGCAGAAATATTAAACCCTAATTTGTATAAGAGGGCGGTTATACTCACTACCGAAATTTTTTACAACTCTCACTACTAAACTAATCACCATTGATTTTTATTAATCTAATAGTTATAATTTATTAGGTACACTTATTAATTCTCAATAAATTATAACAGTTAGATTGACAAAAATCAACAGTGATTAATTTAATAGTAAGAATGGTAAAAAAATTTCAAGAATAAGTATAACTTCTCTCTTTATATAATATAAAAGTATGGTAAAATATTTCTCAAGTCACAGGAAAACAAAAAATTATCCTAAAAGACAATATATGATGTGGTTCCATTGATATTTTTTTTCTCTCCTTGAATTGTGGGACCCATCTCAAAAAATTGTCTCTCCAAGATAAATTCTTGTTTTGCTGTAACTTCAGAAATGTTTTACCCATAAAAGTATGAGTTCGTTTTGGGGCGAAAATTAATGTATTTTGGTAATTATAATTTATTTTAAGATTATAGTAATTTTTATCATTATAATTTTTTAATCTTTCAATCCAAAATAATATCATTTTGAAAATAGATATAGATAATTTATCTATATTTACTTTAAAAACATTAAAGCCTAAAATATTATCTTACACAATGTTACACCTAAAAATGGCTCAGAATATGTAAAAAAAAAAAAAGGCTCATGATCTCTCCTCAACTTGAGCAAAAGGCAATAACTAGCTCCGAAGCAAAATTCCCATCCTCTCTGACTCTCCCTCGCGTGTAGTGTAATGTAACTAGTGTTGTTGAACCTTTTTATTTTTTTGGGTAGAATGTGAATTGTGTAACTTGTTTTGTGTACAAGTCTCTCTCTCTTAACGGCCAAACCGAAAAAAGCTGGCTCATTATTGTAACACACGGAGCATAAGAAGTATCGCCCTTGCACTTTGGCATTTTTGCCTTTGAACAAAACCCCAATCAACCTATTAAGCTTACTACTAACAACAACAAACAACAACAACTACTCCTCTCTCTTTTCCTTCATTGACGATCTCCACGAAGCTACTACACTCTTCTTTCATTAGTGTTTTTTCTCTCTCTCTTTCTCTCTCATTCCTTAATAACCCCACATTCTCTTTCTCTCTCATTCCCCCACTCCTCTCCTATCCTGGATCTTCAGCTTTTCCCTGGTAATTTTCATGGGAAAATCCCCCCTTTTTGTTTATAGAAAATGGAGTTTCCTTTCCTCAATCTGAGGAGCATGTTTCATGGTTTTTTAAGTTGTTCATGATTGAATGGTTCTTTTGGGTTTTAGGAATTTGAAACTCTTGGTTAAAGTTTCTAGGATTTTGTGAAAATGGAGATTAGTTAAGTTAATGGGTTCATCAAAAGATTCTTTTTTTCCTTTGGATCGAGATAGAACTTTTTTTCTATTTCACTCCTTTTTCTTATTTCCTTTCTGGGTTTTGTTAATTTTGTCTCCTTTTTTCATAAAGTGTTTTTTTTTATGATATGTATTTCAACACTGCTAGTAATCTTATTCTGGGTTTCTTTTGTTTTGAGTCCGGTTTTAGATTTTGCTGATTTTGGGCATCGAGATTGAAGGGCTCTGCTGAGGAAACATGGCTGCTGCTTCTGCATCACTTGGTGGTGTTTCGGCTTCGGATCTTCTCAGGAGTTCAACTAGCGGTTTCAGTGGTGTCCCTTTAAGGACCTTGGGAAGGGCAAGGTTGGTTTTGAAAAGGAGGGATTTAACAGTTTCTGCTAAGTTGAGGAAAGTGAAGAAGCATGAATATCCATGGCCTGATAACCCTGATCCCAATGTGAAAGGTGGGGTGCTGAGTCATCTCTCTCCTTTCAAGCCACTCAAAGAGAAGCCAAAGCCTGTCACTTTGGATTTTGAAAAGCCTCTTGTTGCTCTACAAAAGAAGATCATCGATGTAACGTTTAATTTACACTCTCTCTCTCTCTCTGTGTGTGTGTGTGGCTAGCTGTGTGCTTTGTTTACTTGAGTAAGAATGAATTAGTTTTAAGATTCTGATTCTTCTAGGTTATGCTAATAGAAATGTCTTTTATGCTTGAAAACAGGTGCGGAAGATGGCAAACGAAACTGGTCTGGACTTCAGTGATCAGATTCTCTCATTGGAGGATAAGTATCAGCAGGTTATCGTAACAAATAAGCTTTATTCTTAAGAAAACTGAGATAACTGATGATGATTACTGGATTGAATTATGTTGTCAATCTCATACGTTCAAGAGCTCTAATGAGAAAATTGTCATCATGTTGCTCCCAGATTGTTGCTTTCAAAAATGAATATGTAGCATATTTTAACCCTCACTGGTTTAGTTATGTCCTAAACGAATTTGTTAAGCTTGACAGTTATTCATGTGGGCAATCCCCTTGTGGCAAATCCTATATTCCCTTTGGCTTCTTGCTTTTGTTTCTGAAATGCAGATTTACCCGTTTAAGCAATTGGATATGTTTTTAGCTTCTCTTTCTCCCTTGATATTTTTCTTTACATTTAAGTAACTAATAGAATATTAGGGTTCTTATGTTAAAGAGTATTACTGTGTTATGTTATGTGTTTTTGGCTTGGGCATGTATGTACTGCAATTCTGCTTGACCTATATTATAAGTTGGTGTATAAGCTCAATTTTTTGCACTCCAATTATATCCGAGTTTCATTATTCAAATATATACTCTTTTTCCTTTTTATCTTTTCCCTAAAATTTCAACAGACAAAATTGGTAAAAGTCTCATGCTTTTGCTGCTCCTGTTGTTATTTCAGGCTTTAAAGGATCTATATACGCATCTGACTCCTATACAGCGGGTCCAAATTGCAAGGCATCCTAACAGGCCGACTTTCCTTGATCATGTCTTTAACATAACTGAAAAGGTTTACTAAATATTATCGTGGTTTTTCACTTCAATATGTTAGTTATTGCATTTTCTTAGTACTTATTTTAATTAGTTTATTGTTATTTAACCACCTACTTTAACAGAAGTCCCATGTTTCTTTATGTTGCAGTTTATGGAACTCCATGGTGATCGGGCAGGTTATGATGATCCTGCTATTGTTACTGGTATAGGGACTATAGATGGTAGAAGATACATGTTCATCGGTCACCAAAAGGGAAGAAATACTAAAGAAAACATTCAGCGTAACTTTGGGATGCCCACCCCACATGGGTATGTCCACTAGGAACTATAATTGATATTGAGAAATTGAGTAGATTTAAGAAAGGATATGAACTCAGTCAACTTCTTTGATTAAGTTTACAGACTATCAATTTTCTCTGCATTTGATACTGATGGTATATTTTCAATTCAAACAGTTACAGGAAGGCTCTTCGATTGATGGAATATGCAGATCATCATGGGTTCCCAATAGTTACTTTCATTGACACGCCTGGGGCATATGCTGACCTTAAATCAGAGGAACTAGGCCAAGTATGTTGCAAGTTATGCATTAAGATTCTTTGGCTCTCTTTTATTACTAGGTTAATCCATTTGATTGATTTTCATGCATGCAGGGTGAAGCGATTGCTCATAATTTGAGATCTATGTTTGGTCTGAAGGTGCCAATTGTGTCTATAGTTATTGGGGAAGGTGGTTCTGGTGGTGCCCTTGCCATTGGATGTGCTAATAAATTACTCATGCTTGAAAATGCAGTTTTTTATGTTGCCAGGTGATATAATTTTTTACTTCACTATTTGTATATTTTATAATATTGTAGCAATTATTTCAATTATGTGCCTCTCTCTCTCTCTCTCTCTCTCTCTTTCCCCTAGTGCGTGTTAGATGAATCTTGTAGAGCTTCTTTGTAATAATGTTAACTTGGCAAATTATTTGTAGCTGCAGGTTTGAAGTTGCAATTATATTCATAATTTCGTATTAACATATATTGTTAATTCAGAACTGTATTTAATGTGATTATATGTTGTGGCAGTTATAAATTGTATAAATCATTCAAATTATTTAGGAATGTGCTTATAATGGGATGATGATTCTAGAAAATTTCTGTTGGATACTTAGATTCTCCTTTGAGTTAATCTTTTTTTCTTTTTCTCCTTTTCTTTTTCCTTTTGATGCCCCTCCTTGTCCTCTTTTCTACAATTCATTCTTTTACCAAGTGGAAATTTTTTTGTTAGATTTGATTTGGCTTTGGTAATTAGTCAGTGTACATACTGATATGCCCCCCTTCTTTCTGTATGTGTATGCAATATAGATAGATAGGGAAAGGCAGAGATTATAACACAATCCTCATAGAGACAGCCGGTTGTATGAAGATCACCCTTAGCTTTAACCAAACCTTTCAACTAGTGAAATAGTTAACAAAATTGATTCCATATAACTGTGGGGCCTAAAATACTTAAGGTCTATTCTAGAAAGCCTAGAGGGAACAGGAGTCAACCAGATAGCAGTTAGTTAGGTTATTCCTTGTATATAAAGGATATGAGTCCTTTTGTCAAGCATACTTTTGGGAATAGAGTTTGTTGGCTGAGTAGAGTCTCAGATTAGGGGAGTGCCCCTTGTTGCCTTGAGTACAGTGTGTAATCTTTGATTCTTGTCATCTAATTTTAATAAAATCATCAGAATTGCAATTCTTGTTCCTATCTCTTTTCTTTGGTGGGTAGTTTTTAGTACTGCACCAAGTTTGGTCCGACCTGCCAAATCAAATAGAATGGATTCCAGTAAGGCAAGGGTTGAAGCACTAAAGCAATCCATTGAATCATTACGACGGGAGACCAGCCAGAACAGTAGGAGATTGGAGACGTGGGATAGGCATCTTGAGTTAATCGACAAAATCCATTCCTTGTTGAAGGGATGGATGACCAAGAAGGCATAAGAGAAATTATTGAATGATAGAGTAGAAGGGCATTGTCTTTGTAAGACCCAGGACAGCCCTTGAATGTACGTAATGAAGGGGAAAGTTATAATGCTGACACTACAAAGGAGCGTTTTTTGTCGTGAAGGGTTGAGATGCCTTTTATCGACAGGGTAGATCCATTAGGGTGGATTTCTCGTGCTGAGAAAATTTTCAAAATGCAAAACATCCCTCTTATCGAGAAGGTCAAGCTAGCATTTGTAAGTATGGAGGGGTCTAAGATTGACTAGTTTAGATTCTTTAGGAGAAGGAAACCAAATATGCACTGGGAGGATCTCAAAAGGGCTTTAATTCAAAGGTTTGGGGACCGAACGCAGGGGAGCATTTATGAGAATCTCTCCACCTTGCGACAAAAGGGTCTCGGTAATGACTACATCCGAGAGCTTGATCTTTTGGTGGCTCAAGTGGCTACGGAAGATGAGAAGAAAATTGTAGGTTATTTCTTGGGAGGGTTACTGCCTGACATTTGTAATCGCATGTGTACCAACAATCTGCCTGAGGTGTCGCTGGCCATGGATGTGGTTTGTGACATTAAAGCTGAATTGCTAACGACGCCTCTCACTTATGGTGGCTCTACATGCAGTGGTGGTCAACATGCGTGAAATAATGGTGGAGGCTCTATTCAAGTGGGCCTCAATCAATCAGCCCCAAATAACCTTTCAGCCAACTCTTTTCAAAATAATAGGTCTAGGCCCAACTCTAGTGCTGAGGCAAGTCACTGGGTGGAGCCCAAAATTCATCTTAGAATTCTCATTTTGTGTAAAAGGTGAACATAGGAGGGTAGACTTCATCGAAAAAGAAAGGAAACCGCTTGCTCTCATACAATGAATTCGTTTGTCGGCATGAGGGCAATTTTTGCTTCCATTGTGGCCTTCGATTCACTCCAAGTCACCAGTGCCAAGCCAAAAGTTTGCACCTTACAATTTTGGGGGCCTACACACAAGACATTGGAGAGACTAACTTACAGTGGATGTATTTGTCCATAGTTTCGACGGGTGGGTTGACTATGCCTACAACAATGAAGCTTAAAAGAACCCTCGGAACCTAGTTGATTCTGGGGAAAACCATAACTTTTTTGGTCAACGGTTAGTACAACAACTAAATCTTCCTGTTAATCTTACAGTTTCCTACAATGTTCAGTTGGGTGATGGTCAAGGGAAGCATGCCAGTGGATTTTGTGTTGGCTTAACCTTGTCTTTGGGAGATTATCCAGTCAAGAATGACTTATTTGTCTTCGATTTATGTGGAGTGGATGTTATTCTAGTGGTTGCTTGGCTGGAAACGTTAGGGGATGTGAAGATTAATTGGAAAATGTGTTCTTTGTTCGTGATGTTCAAAGGCTTTTAATTGAGGACCCCAACCTATCTCACTCCTTGGTTTCTCATAGGACAATCTCCAAAACTTCGGAGGTTGTTGGTGAGGGCACCTTTGGATTCTAATGCTTCTATGCTTGATCATGCCTTGGCATCAGTCATCACTCCTGCTCAATCTTATCAATTGCAGGAAATCCTTGACAAATCTTTCTATTTTTTCAGATCCTGTTGGTTTACCACCATTTTGCTCCGTGGATCACAAAATCCCTCTTAAGGAAGGCACAACCCCAGTCAATGTTAGGCCGTACCGGTATGCACACCTACAGAAAAAATGAGATAGAAATATTGGTCTGAAATGCTTACTTCTAAAATCATTTGGTGAAGCAATAGTCCATACTCAAGTTTTCTTATCCCTATAAAGAAAAAAGACGAAAGTTGGCGCCTTTGTATTGATTATAAAGCCTTAAATTGAACCAGTGTCACCTATAAATTTCCTCTTATTGTCATCGAAAACCTATTAGAGGAGTTGTATAGGGCGATTTATTTTTTCCAAGATTGATCTCAAGTCTAGGTACAATCAAATAAGGATGTTTGAACTTAACATACCCAAGACCACTTTCAGAACACACCAGAGGCATTATGAGTATTTGGTGATGCATTTTGGCCTCTCCGACGTCCTTGCCACATTTCAAAGCTCAATGAATTCCATTATCTAGTCATTTCTCCGAAAGTTTACTTTAGTCTTTTTCAATGATACATTGATTTACAAGGTATTGCACACCTTATCTCAAAATCATTGCATGCTAATAAAAGTAAATATTGCTTCGGTCATATCATCTTTGAATATTTAGGACATATCATTTCCAAACAAAGGGTAGCTATGAATCCTTGAAAGTTTAATTGTGTTCTTCAATGGCCAGTTCTTAAGACAATCAAGGATCTTCACAATTTTTTGGGTCTCTAGGGTTATTACAAACGTTTTGTGAGGGATACGTAAAGTTGGAAAAACCACTCACCAATCTCTTGAAGAAAGGCATGTTTAGTTGGTCCCAAGAAGCTACTGATGCATTACAACCCCTGAAGGCAACAATAACTACAGCTCTGGTTTTGCATCTGATTGACTTTACCAAACCATTTACTATTGAGTGTGATGCATGTGGTTCAGTCTTCGGCCAGTTTTATCTCAGGAGAAGCATCCCATAGCCTTTTTCAACAAAGTGCTAGGCCCCGCCCCTTTTACCAAGTCAGAGTATGAGAAATAAGTAATGGCCTTGGTTCTTGCAATTATACATTGGCGCTGTTACCTTTTTGGTAGACGTTCACAGTATTTACCGATCAAAAGAATCTGAACTTTCTTTTGGAGCAGTGGGTCACCTCTCGAAACCAACAAAATTGTCTTTTTAAATTGTTGGGGTATGAGTTTGATATTGTGTATATAAAGAACCAATTCAACCCAAAAGTTTAAGATGGTGGGTGAGGCTACATTAATAATTTTATATATCTCTAACACGCCTTCTCACAAGAGAGCCCATTGGGCTTGAAAGGTGGATGATGCATCAGGCCCAACCTACCTGTCTTAAGAAATTCCACAAAGAAAATGGAGGGTGGCGAGGATCGAACCCGGAATACTGAGGCTCTGATACCATATAAAGAACCAATTCAACCCAAAATTTTAAGCTGGTGGGTGAGCCTACATTAATAGTTTTATATATCTCTAACAGTGTATACAACTAGGGCCAACAATAGATTGGCTAATGCATTATCAAGGAGGGAGGGGTCAAGGAATTTCAGGACATTTCCACAATCTTTTAGCAGGATGTGACTTTGGTAGATGATGAAGTGAAGCAGGATCCCATTGTATCCAAGATAGTTGCTGATTTGGAGCAGAATCCAGATTCTCATCCTTACTATATTTTGGAACAAGGGAGTCTGTTTTACAAAGGGAGGCTAGTGCTCTCTGCTACATCAGCTTGTATCCCCAAGCTTTTGCAGGATTTCCACACCTCTCCTATGGGAGGACATGCTGGAGTTTTCTGTACCTTTCGTAGGCTGGTGCAGTCGGTTTTCTGGCAAGGAATGAAACGAGCAAGGAATGAAACGAGCAGTGACCTCTTTTGTGGCTGAATGTCAAGTGTGCCAGCACAATAAGTACCATTGTACCAAGCCTCTTCTCTAGCTACTGCCCATCCCTAATGATGTTTGGAAGGAGATTAGCATGGACTTCATTTCTGGCCTTAAATTCAAAGGGCCTGACACTATTCTGGTGGTTGTGGATAGCCTTAGTAAATATGCCCATTTCATTATGGTTAAACATCCTTACTCAGCCAGAGGGATCGCTGAAATTTTTAGTAAAGAAATAGTGAGACTGCATGGTATGCCTATATCTATTGTTAGTGATCGGGATCCCACCTTTAGTAGTTGCTTTTGTAAGGAGTTGTTTCAGTTACAAGGTACCTCCATTAAGTTTAGCACCGCTAGTTATCCTCAAACAGATGGTCAAACCAAAGTTCTTAACCGGACCTTGGAGACCTACATGAGGTGCTTCTGCTCAGAGCAAATCAAAATAAACCATTGTATGTATATATATATATATATATATACATACACGTCTGCGCTCGTGCGCGCATATGTGTGTGAGAGAGAGAGGATTGACTACTTGTGTTATTCTTAGTCATTTTACTAATTGAAAAAAGTCTGTCTGATCTATTCTGCTGGTTTGATCTATATTTATTTCATGATTTAGTCCAGAGGCATGTGCAGCAATCTTGTGGAAGAGTGCTAAAGCTGCTCCAAAGGTATATAAAACACTGGCACTTGACTCTTTCATTTTATAATATAAATTTAATCATTTTAAACCTTTGCAGGCTGCTGAGAAGCTGAAGATTACAGCCCCTGAATTGTGCAAATTGCAAATTGCAGATGGTGTTATCCCTGTAATAGTCCTATTAATTATGCCTTTAGCTCTTAAATCTTATTCATATATATGAAGAGTGCTAAAGTAAAATTTCATTTTCTTTTCAATAGGAGCCCCTCGGTGGTGCTCATGCAGATCCAAATTGGACCTCAAAACAGATAAAAATTGCAATCAATGAAGCCATGGATGTAAGTTTTACCGTCAGAAGTGTTCTACTGAAATCAAATATGTTAAAGCATATGCTGATTTGGAACTTTGGCTTGTCCTTTGTGTAGGAGCTCACCCAGATGAAAACAGAAGACCTATTAAGACATCGCACGCTTAAGTTCCGAAAGATTGGTGGGTTCCAGGAAGGAATTCCTTTAGATCCCAAGAAGACAGCCAACATGAAGAAGAGGGATGTACCTGTTGCTAAGGAGATTCCTGATGCTCACTTAGGGGTTGAGGTTGAGAAACTGAAACAGAAAATCTTGGAAGCTCAGAAATCCTCTTCTAAGCCTCCAAAACTAGAGCTGGATGAGATGATAAAGAAACTGAAAAGGGATGTTCATCAAGAATACTCCGAGGCAGTTAAAGCCATGGGCTTGACAGATGAGGTGTCGAAACTACGGGAGGAAGTTTCAAAAGCAAAATCAGATAACCAACCTATTGATCCATTGCTGATGGATAAGATAGAAAAGCTTGAGGCTGAGTTTGAACAGGGTTTGTCAGCGGCTCCCAATTATGGCAGGCTGCAGAATAAGCTTGATTTTTTGAAAGAATTATTGAAAGTAAAGTCTCTGTCAGATAAAAACGAGAAGGCTGCCACATTTAAGCAAGAATTCAAGACAAAATATGATGATATCTTGAATAATCCTAGAATAAAGGAAAAAAATGAGGCAATAAAGGCTGAAATTCAAGCTGTTGGTGCATCCTCATTAAGTGATTTGGATGATGAGTTGAAGAAGAAAATAATTGAGTTTAAGGAAGAGGTAGACTTGGAGCTGGCTAATGCTCTAAAGTCCGCAGGCTATGACGTTGAGATTGTAGAACCAAAGGGTTCTTCAGTGTCAGAGTATGAGTCAAAGATAGAAGAACTAAACAAAGATATAAAAAAGGAAATGGAAACTTTGGTAAACTCATCAGATATTAAGGACAAGATAAAGTTGTTGAAATTGGAAATTGCCATGGCTGGAGAGACACCTGATTTGGAATCAAAAAATAGAATTGCTGCCTTGGAGCAACAAATCAAGCAGAGCTTAGTGGAGGCCCTTGACTCATCTAGCTTAAAAGAGGAGTACGAAAATCTGGTGTCTAAGATTTCCAGCGAATTAGATGGAAGTTTGAAAAAGGAAGATCCAGAAGGAGACAACCCCACCAATGATGATTTGAGAATGAAAGTTGGTGCAAATCGCACCTTTACTTAATGTGAGTTCATCTAATCTGCACAAAAAAAATTGTTTTGTCAGTGCGTTTTCATAATCAAATATGCAAGGGTAAAGCCACTCCTTTATGACTGAAAAGTCACAAGTTTGAATCTTGGCAACCTCTTTGCAAATATACAAAGGCAAGACTGCGTACAAGGGTTATCCTCGTCCCTACCCTCACTAGTCGGTGTTTAATGACGAGTGGTTTAATGCATTTTTAGGATCGTTGAGGCATTCTAGGGAGCATTTAATCTGTAGCTTTTACCATTGAAAGTTGTATTTCCCATTAAACTAAATTTGCATGACTGATGTGTACAGTGATCCCCAAGTTGAAAACTACATCCTAACGCCCTAAAAAACACATTTAAAAAAACAGTTTTAAGATGGTTTTATATGATTTTGGATTAAAAATGATAGCAGGGATTAATTGAGGTTTCATTATGTGTAAATTTGCTTTATCCTTCATTTGAAAATTTGCTCCAATCATTTTGCGGAATGTCTTTCTATCAGGCTGCTGCTCATAGTGGTGAAGATGGTGCTGGCTTGCAATAAGTATATGAATGGGAATAGCGGAAACTGCATATAACCAATATCTTGAGCTGGTTGTACATCATCACCAGCATCGTGGCCATCTTTCTTGGAAAAAAGTTTTGGGAATTCAAAGGAGAGATAACCATGTGAATTGTGGCTGATATTTTTCTACCATCTTCCAGCAGAAGACCGGCAGGGGGAATAAAATTGAAAACCATTTTGTGTTTGTTTGAGTCAGGGTATTGCAGTTAATTTTAGAATGACTTGCTATATTTGCATACTTTTCCTTTTCATTTTCGTTTTGTTCTTTTTTCCCCCCCTGAAATTTAAAATGTTGAATTTCTCCCTAAATAGACTTAGATGAACATTGTATAAATTGCTTGAGTTTGAGGAACCTAATAAAGTGAGTTGTGGTTTATTGATGTATTATTTGCAAGAATGATAGTCAAAATAGGCTAGCTTGTCCCATTAAGTCCCAGCTCATGCGAGTTAAGATCAAAAAGGCTACAAGGCCATATAGCTCATAATAATAAAGCTTTGCATGAGCTAAAAGTCTTTTCGCTAAAGCTAGCTCGCATATCATCCAAAATTATAATTTCAAAAAATCTAATTTTTTTATAATATTCAATACATTCAAAATATTAACAAAATTTAAAATTCATATTTTATGTATCACCCTTTATAATACCTTAAGGCACAATGAAATTTTGGTATTTTTATTATATGAATTTTATCAAAACACATTTCATTAATTCTCAGAGCCCTCAAAACACTTTATAGGAGAAATGATAAACCCTTTTATTTATTATTATTCACAAAACTACTGAGGTACAAACATGCTTAGTTGCTCAAATGAAATTCTCTATTAAAATATCTTATCACTTATCATGTATGTTTACTTATTTTATTTTATAATTTATTTTATATTTATAAATAGGGAGAGGTTATAGTTACAATCTTTTTTATTTACAACCTCTTACAACCATATACCATAACCGTTGATTTCCGCCAATCAACGGTTATGATTTTCGCAAATTAAACTCATTAATTAATTATTAATTCATAATAAATGACAACTGTTGATTGGCGGAAATCAACGGTTATGATATATGGTTATAAGAAGTTGTAAAAAAAAAGTTGTAAGTATAACCTTCTTCTTATAAATATTTAAATTTATATATTTTTTTTATTTTTTTTTATTTTTATTTTATATTATTTAAAATAGTAAAAATTTTGATGAAAGAAAAACTTTGATCTGGTTATAAGCCCTAACCCAACCCGCTAAATTATAAGACTTTGGATACTAGAGTTAACAAAGGTCCTATCACAAAAAGACTATAATGAATTAGGGAAGACTTTGCGGGTTGGCCTCGAGGTTTCAACCCATTTTGACACCTCTAGCTCTATTTTTATACCTGTTTAAATTTTGATGTGGTTAATATCGGTTCTTAGGCATTGGTATTTTAACAAGTTTTGGATAACATTCGAATATTGATCAGCTTTATTGTTGCCTTGTGGCAATCACCCTCAACCAAAGAAGCACGGACACTTGTAAAAATAGGAAGAGTCGGGTCTGACACGCTCCGACACGGTGTCGAACACGCGGTTGACTTTTTCCGACACGTTGACCATTCCGACACGCGAATTTGACCGTGTCCGACACGGTCAAATGGCATTTTCGTAATTTTTTTAATTTTTTTTTTAATTTTTTTTAAAAAATTTATTTTTTTTAAAAGTTAAAATATATTAATAAAGCTTCCACCTGATCATATTAATTTTATCTTTTTGTCTTTTTTCCTCTTAAGTAGATAAGAAATCATCTCAACATCATTGTTGTCAATTCCTATCACGCTCTTGTTGTATCTTCTTCTCTCTGATCTCTCTCTATCTGATATTATATCTCTCTCTCATCCCAGTTCTTATTTATTTTATTAAAGCTTCCATCTTTATAACGTGTTGATGGGTATTATTAATTTAGTTTCATTTTTTTGTTAAATTATTAAATATTAAATGAAATATACCCTATATTAATTAAAAATATTATTTAATATTAAAACGTGTCCCAACGTGTCAAAATCCATAATTTTTTAAGATTGACGTGTCGGAATGTCGTGTCGTGTCGCGTGTCGTATCGGTGCTACCTAGCCTTCAACGATATTGAATTGAATGTATTCTAGTAAATAGATTGGTAGTATTAATACACAATATGGTTTGCATGTACGTAGGAGATACAGATACTATATTCCCCATACTTTTGAATTGAGAAAACCAATTACTAATTTTTTTTTTATTAAAGAGATATTATATCTTTCATTAACTATTATTATTATTATTGTGGTTATCTTTCAGTAATCAATTTTTAAAAAAACGATAGAAGAGGCTGAAAGAAAAATCAAGAGTGGTTAATCATCTGTCTCCATCTTCATCTCTTTATTTTATTGCTCATATTGCAAGCCTCTTAATTCAAAGCTATTTTTAAAGATGAAATTCCATCTTTATTGTATATTATATCTTTTTCTCTTCTTTTTTTGTGGTTTCTTTTTTCTTCTTTTTAAAATGTTCAATTAGAAGTATTCCAGATTTTGGGATTATATTAACTTGATAAATTGCAAGTATAAAAATTAAAAAATTACCTTATTCCATAATCAATATCTTACAAACATTTTTTGCCATATAGATCTGAGAAAATATATACTTTAGTGCTAAGAAGGTCCAAAGAAGATGGAACCCATTAACATGCTGCAGAATTTATTTATATTAGAGATACTTAAAGTTGTTTGTTATAAATGTATACTATCCGTTTACAATTTTTTAATCTTATAAGTGTACGAGGTTTCGCTATCGAATTGAGAAAAAATATGCTTTAGTACTAAGAAACCCCAGAATATCGGTCCTATTGACATGTAGAAGTTCCGCGTCTTAGAGCTACTTGAAGTTGCTAGTATAAATACTTCAAGACCTGTAAATTGTTTTGTTTGGGTAAAAACACTAAGTGCCTCTACACTTTGAGGGGCTGTTTGGTATTTTTCAGATTTTCGGAAAATTAAATTTTTTTAAATTTTAAATTTTCAGATATTATCCTAAACTGAATGTAAAAATCATATTTTTGAAAATTGAAATCCTCGGACAAATAAAAATTTCTCCTGTAAATGTGAAATTCATCTCCAAACTTTAAAAGTGAAATTAATCTCTATTCAAGCATCAGTTTGAATATTTATTTTTTGACATTTGCACTTTGCACATATTAATGCCTGCTTGATATTGAAATACTTAAATCTTAGCTATTTTTATAATTAATTGGGTTGAAGCATAAAAATTATAGCCTACAAGACAGCATACATTGGATTTTAATTTTTTAACAACTGTCTGGTATTAAATTCCCCACAATGTATACTTAAAAAATATCTCTGAAAATCCTCAAAAGCAAAGTTTTACATTGAGGATTTTTCAAAACAAAAGAATGGCTTGATTTTTCAAGCTTTAATATGTAAAATTGTAAATAGTATCTCTTACTGATTATGTAAATAGAGTCTGAATAAAGTATTTATGGTAATTAGGATAGCAGTGATATTTGTATTAATGTTGTTGAGACACGAATTTCATCAAAGTCACTGTTTTCTCCTGACTTAACAAATCCATATTATATTACTCTTTAGAATACAAGAGTTCAATTTACTCCACAGCCTCAACACCAATTACAAAAAAATGACTCTGCCTTTTGGTGACAGCTTATGATATGTGGGAACATTTTGCTCGGTTGCCTCAAGTCAAAGAAGCTAGAACCGTTATTTGCATTATTTTGGATACACAGCACACAATATCTGATATATTGATAATTTTATACTAAAGTAATTTTACTTAATGATAAACAACCAAAGTTTGTTCTCACAATTACTTTTGATAAAAATTTATTTCATTCTTCTAAGAAAAATTCTTCCACAATACATTCTACTCAACAATTGTACAAAAATTATTGGTTGGTTATTTTGTAGTAACTCAACTTCGACCTTCAAAGTGGCATCTCTAGACACATGTCAATGGCCTATGCTAACCTAAATACTTTGATCAGGACAGATACATAGGCAAATATAAAAAAGACGAGACAAACACAGCTTACTGGATCTTCTTAATGCACATATTCAACCCTCTGCAAACTAAGAGGAACAAAAAAATTTACTGCATAGGATATAGAAATTTTAGATCAACCACCTATATAGTTGTGTTTGAATGCTTATATATGTTAGCAGCAAAGAATATGTTGAATGAAAAGTGGGAGGGAGACAAAGACATGTACATGAGTGAACATATATTGTAAAATGAAAGGGAAATGAAAATTGGAGCTTTAGTGCAAAAGTGCAGAAGGGAGAGATAGCAGATAAGTCTATGATTTTCACTTTTAAAGACCCTTGCAGATTACTAGTTAAACAATTTATATTGTACAATATATACTTACTAATGAGATCCTGTAAACTACATTATTCGAATAAAAACACTCAATTTTGGTGACATTAATATGTTGCATAATTTGTATGTGAGCATGAACAGAAAAAAAAAAAAAAAAAAAAAAAAAAAAAAAAAAAAAAAAAAAAAAAAAAATATATATATATATATATATATATATATATATATATATATATATATATATATATATATATATTAAGTAAGAGAGCAAACCTTCCGAAGGCAGGAAAATCTTTCAATTGCAAATTTCAGACTAAGGAGTAAGGACCAAGACAGCTTTACCTACACCAACGATTACATTGTGGGTTATTACCAAAGAACAAATATAGGTAGTGTTATATTCATCATAACTTCACGTACAATTGTAATAAAAGTGGTAAACCAGATATTAAAAGAAAAAGATAAGACTACTGTAGATGGTAAAAAGAGAAAGCAGCAGCATTCCTACAATGGCTTATTTTGCTTTTATATTTAGTACCCTTATGGCAAGAACTGATAATGAAGATTAAAATACTGAATTGTAAAGAACCAATTCAACCCAAAAATCTAAGTTGGTGGGTGAGACTACATTAATAGTTTTATATATCTCAAATACGCCCCCTCACACGAGAGCCCACTAGGCTTGAAGGGTGGACAATGCACAAGCCCACCTACATGTGCTAAGAAATTCCACAAGAGAAAGTGGGGGCAGTAAGGATTGAACCCGAGACACGAGGATCTGATACCATGTAAAGAACCAATTCAACCCAAAAGCTTAAGTTGGTGGGTGAGACTACATTAATAGTTTTATATATCTCCAATATAAATCAACATGGCTCCGCCTCCCACAATGTTTGACATATAGAGAGATGGATTGGGGGGGAGGCATTGGCTGGAGTGAATTACCATGTAGTGAGTTAGGCCTCAAACAGTGAAATCTCATCACTACGGTTGATTTTACACTACTATTCTCAGTCCCACTTCTCAGCATCTATCCACAACTTAAATTACAGATGTTCTCTTCTTCCAGAGCTTCCTTTCTTCCTCTTGGTAAGGATAACAACCCATAGACACACCCACATCAGACTTTCTCACTTGTGAGCACAAGTTCCCAGCATCTATCGTCAACTAAAATTACAAATGTTCTCTCACAAAGCTTTCTCTCTTCCACTTTGTAAGGATAGCAATCCAAAGCGGTACCCACAGGCCACATCAGACTTTGCTGTGGAGCATGTAGCAATGAATCAGACAAGGTAACTGGTAAAGATTTTGAGAGGAAGATGGCGCAACATGTGCATCTCTTGAATCGTGAAAGATTTTTGCAATATAACTTGAGATGGAGCCGTGTGCTGTTTGGAGTCCTTTGTTATTTAGCAAGAATTAAATTCTTGTACTCAAAATTTCAAGGGTCAGTTAATAGTCAAATTTTGTTTTTTCTGATACCAATTTGTTTCATAGATAGATAGATAGATAAATTGAAAACATTGCTTAAAAATCTTCAGTCAAAAATAGTATAGACTGCAGTAGTGAAGGTACCATGCTGATTAACCCAATCTGACAGATTTGCATATAATATCCTTCTATTATTTTGACACACAAAAGAAAATATCATGTTATAACTTATGTGGCACACTTCATTTAAAATCAATAAATATCAATCCACAAATCATATGATACGTTCTGTTGATGAATTTATCACTAATGAATTTATTCTACTTCATTGCTTAATGTATCTTACACATATGTTAAGATATACAAAAGAGGTGGTGTATTATTAAGAAGTGGTGTCATAAAACAGTCATCTCCAAGTAAGACAGAATAGTGCATAAAGGAATTCTTAATTAAAACAACTTCTAATCATACCAATCCAATAATCCAACCTTATATCAGATAAACCAAGTTTTCCTGCAATGCTTCATCAACACATCCTAATTTTCATGTCCTTTGACACCTACATCCTAAAGTACAAGGCAGAAAGAAAAATCAATACAAGTATGGAATAACGGCTTTCCTTTTCTTGGGATAGTCCTCCCCAAATTTCTCCAAATACCACTGATGATTTGCAAGTGCCCTGGGTCCCAAGTTAGCACAAGTGTAGAGGAAGAACCCTAGTCCAACCCAAGACCATGTCATCACTGCCCAACCAAGCCACTCCACCATCTCCCCAAAATAATTTGGACAAGTCACAAGCTCAAACAACCCTCCCCTTGGCACCACATACCCCTTCCCTTCACCCTTGAGCCTCAGCAATTCCCTATCAGACCAAACATTGATTCCCAAGCCACACAAAAACACCAATAACCCACAAAAGAACTTCCACCAGAAACAACACCCATCATCATCATAGTCCTTGTAGTGAGAGACCCATCTGGCCTGAAGGTAAGAATTCAACAAGTTGAATACAAAAGCCATCAATGCCACACTTAAGGGAAACCCAGTTGCGGTTTTCCTTGAAGGGGCATTGAGGAGGCGAAGTGGGTAGAGGCAGGTTCGGTTGAAGTAATGGAAGAGAAAAGGGATTATGAGAATGATGGATTTTGGGTTGGAAGATTGATGGCCATGTGGAAAGAGCAAAAGGGTAAGCCAAAGTGTTGGACTTTCCATGAGAAACCATGCCAATGGTGGTGGAAGGTTTGGACCCCACCCAGCCCTGTGGTGCTTCCCATAAGGTGCTTGGAGGAATCTCAGCGAGATTAACGTTGGTGGAGCTATGAGGTAGAGAGTGAGAAGAGCGTTGCGGAACAGAGACTCGTCTTCAATCATGGTGATTGGTGAAGAGTGTTTGCTTCTTCTTCTGCTTCAGTGGAAAATTTGGAGTGTGCGATCACTAAGAACAAGATCTCAATAAAAAGAAAAAAGACTCTGAAGGCAAGAACAAGAGGAAAGTGACACACTAGTGGATCACTTTAAAGTTTTTTTATTAGGTTAAATTACAAATTTGGTGTTTCAAAATATTACTTATTTTTATTTTAAAAAAAGAAGTCAATTGCTCTATTCTACGTTGCATCAACAATTGATGCATGACAAGGGACACGACACAATACGCCGACACGTTAATTTTAAAAAATATTAAATTTTGACACGTCACATTTTGATATTAAATAATATTTTCAATATATATAATATAATTTACATTTAATATATATAACAACTCATAATAAGCTATATAATCAATCAAATATTCAAATTTTATAACATAAATATAAAGAAAAAATAATTTTTTGCACCTTGTTAAATTTTTAGGTCAAATTTTATTTGATTTATAAATTAATTTTTTTTTAATTAAAAAGATAAAATAAAATAAAATATGGATTAAAAAAAATGTGTCAGAAAATATTGATCGCGTGTCAAAAAATATTGACCGTGGGCCAAAAATGTAGATCACATGTCGAAAAATATTGATTGTGTGTCAATATTCGACACATGCCCAATACACAAATTTATTTTCAAATAACGTGTCCGTACACCAGAGCCTATATTTGTATATACTTTAAATAATCTTTATCATGTTGTAGTATTACTGCAATTGTAACATTTTTGTGGGATAGGATAATATATTTGGTAAATGTGTTTATTTTATTTCTTTCTTTCCACATCCTTAAAATAGAATCATATCTTATTCTTGTTTTTGTTTTATGCTTTTTTGTGTGGAATGTTAATAAGTTATCTTCATTTATTTTCAAAATAACGTCATTTTGAAGTTGAAAGAATAATTGTAAAGACTATTATAATATTAGAATAAATTAAAATTATAAAAACACCTTAATTTTCGTCCCAAATGATATAATTTTGGATTCAATATAAATAACTTATTTGTATTCACAGCAAATAAAACAAACCCTTTGTTTTATGCAAAAAAAGGTTTTTTTTCATATTTATTTAAAGTTGACCTGATTTCATTAATTTTTTTTCTCCACTTTTTATAATACTTTTTTTTAGTGTGATAGAAAAATTTGTTTTAGAAAAAACATTAAAATTTTTTACCTTTATTTCATTATTTGATTCAATAAAAATAGGTGTTGCTTCTTGAAGTTTTAATATTAATTTAATTATATTTAATAATTAGGTGTGAAGCATGTCATGTGACAGCGGAGCGGATCTATTCCACCCCTTCCATAAAAATTGAGCATGCCACATTTCACAATAAAAATTAGGTTATGCCCCTTGAAGACATAAAAAAGCAAAAGAAAAATAATCTTCAACGCATTTAAAACTAAACATAACAAACCCAAATTTTTATTTTTGTTCATATATTATAGTTTCATAACATTAGCGGATGATAAAGACCAAATCAAAAATAATTATATGTACAAGAGCCAAATTGAAATACTTTTTTCACATAGACCAAATTAAAAGTAAATGTCACTTATAATGATTAAAAATATATTTTAACCTAATAACAATATTATTATAAAAAAACTATGTCTTAATGTATTAAAAGAGAAAATAAATTAGAGGAAAAGTAATCTTAATAGAATTTGTATCTAGTATTAAATAACTTCTGCGTTTTTAAAAGACCTAGCCGTACTTATAATCTTTTCTAAAATACATTCAAAATTTATTTATATAAATATATTTTTAGTAATAAATAAAGGGTAGTGATATTGTAACAACCAATTAGTGTTAGTACCAATGTTACTACCAATCAATTTCACCGTTAGATCGATTATGTTGATCCAACGGTTATATTTATTTACATCTTTGTATGGTTATGATTTTCCATATTTAATATTTTATATTTATTTCCATCTTTGTATGGTTATGATTTCTCATATTTAATGTGAAAATATTAAATATGAAAAATCATAACCATACAAAGATAGAAATAAATATAATCATTAGATCAACATAATCGATCTAACGGTGAAATTGATTGGTAGTAACTGTTGGATATATGCTCTTTTGGTCACTAAAGTCCTATTGGGCTTCAGTGAAACTTGAGCCCATGAGGCTTAGGGTTGAGTTATGTCTAAGACCTAAGCGTATATATTCATAGTTTTCTCCTCTTGTGCCTCCAAGGTGAACAGATCATCAGAAACAAACCCCAAGAGGCAGACGTTCATCATCTGAACGGTTGCCCACACAACCATCTCATCCTCCTCGAGAGATAGTCTGGAAGATCTGCCACAGTCCAGCTTCAAGGAGGTTGTTCGTGCTGCGGCGCTGAGGTGAGCTGTTCGTGAAGAGGAATCCTACAAGGGAAGATTCTACACGAGACCTGCGCACCGAGAGGTAATTGTGAAACAAGGATGATTCGGTAAGCATACCAATGTACTAGGTCCTAAACCGCTTCCGCATAAATCTAAGATTTCCTACAATTGGTATCAGAGCCTTGGCTGTACATTGGTATGTGAATCTAGTTTCACTATTCATGTAATTAGTTTTGCTTCTTGAAATGTGGCACCTAGGGTTCTAGGATTATGGTATGAATCTAGCATGTGTATTTTATAATTCATTTTCATAAAAGTTTAAATTTTAATCGGTAAAAATGCTTTAATCCATGGTTAGGGTCTCTCGTGTATTTCTCGATTTGTAACAAGGAGACTAATCCCATATGATTAGGTATCCTCCTTGCTGTTTTTATTTATTTTCGGAATTTCTGTGTATTTTTCCAATATTTTGTAAAAGTTCAAGATCGAGAAACCGCAAGTAAGATGCACAGTCAGTACTGTCGGAGACTTTTCGAGGACTTCCCGATCTCGGAATGGGGCTATCTATATATGGTTGGAAAGAGGACGTAAAGGCGAACGCAACGGTGGGTTGATCTCCGCCATCGGAGGCTTCACGCTCATCCACGCGCCTTCACAAGCGTATGAGAGTGGCCGCCACTCTCCGGCAAAGAATGGGAGAGTGAGGGAGCGTCCGGCCACATTTTTGGGTGGTTCCGGCGGCGGTGCACTCGTCTCTACGTGGCATTCCTTCCCCTGGAGTTTCGGCCTGATTTGACTTCGGGTGACGGCGCTGCAGACCTGACGGCTAGGGTTCCTCTTTCGCGTCCTAGGGTTTCTTGCCAAAGGATTGGGTCTTTGGGCTTTGGGCCCATGGAAACCCTAAAGGGGCTTGAGACAGATACTACGGGCTAGGCGAAAGTTGAATTCCAAAGTTGTAACATTTTTTTTATTTTCTTTAAAATAGGAATGTCATGGATTAAAGTAATTATGATTTATTATTTAATGCTTTTATTGATTGGTATAAATTATATGATTGATAACATGCTTTATTGCGATAACATGCCATACAGAATAAGTGGTGCCATATTGTTGCATAACTTGTATGATTGCATGAGCATAATAGCTATTATGTCTTCAGCGACTAGTATGATAGTTATTATGAGATTATTTTGATTTTAAATCATCCTAAGAAATTAATTAATAATTATTATGATTTTTATTAAAAATCTAGATTAATAATTGAATTAATTAATTTTGGATAATTAACATCAAGACAAATAATCGTTATGGAAATTATTTTGATTTCAAATTATCCTCGTAAATGATAATTATTATGATTGTTGCAATCTAGATTAATAATTAAGTCAGCTATTTGGATGATTTAAATCTAGAAAAATAATTAGAGAAAATTTCCTAAGAGAATTCTTTTATTTTGCGAGTAATTTGTGGGTTTTCTGAAATGGTCATGGAATAACACACGCTGCATACAACCTTCATGTATCATGATTGTTTGGAGCACACGCTGACGTAAAGTGATCGGATTTCAGGACCTTAATGCTTTCAAATTATGTTAAGCTTAGTGCACGTTTATCGGCGCTCTTACTTATATAGTTTTTGAAATCAAACAAAGGATACTCTCAATTAAATAATTCTTGGAAATTAGAAAATGTTGCTTATGTTGAATGGAAGGAGATTTAAATTAAGAGATTAATTTAACCTTCAAGTGCATTATAGGACCATTAATAAAATAATCATGTGAAGTCCCATCGAATAAGCATGATTGGATTTTATTAGATTGAACTTAAATATCTATGGGAGGAGATTTAAATTAAGAAATTAATTTAACCTCCAGGCGCATTGTGGGCCTATCAATAAAATAATCATGAGAGGCCCCAACGGATAAGCATGATTGGATTTTATTGGGCCTTAATAATTTCAAAATTTTAATAAAGTATTGTACGACCCATCGTCGATAATACTAAGTTATTAAAGATAATTTTGAAATTAAACAATGAATTCGACTGGGCTTATGAAAATTCTCAAACAAAAATGTTGAATGGGTGAAGATTTTAAAAATTAATTAATTTTAAAACCTGCGGGCACCATTTGTGGGTTTATTAGTGAAATGGTTATCGCTGAAGCCCCATCGGATAAGGATAATCAGATTTCACTAGATTAAATCTTAATAATTTCAAAATTTTAGTAAAGTATTGTACGACCCATCGTCGACAATGCTTAGACACTAAGGATAATTTTGAAATTAAACAATGGTTAATTACATTCAACTTTGGTAAAATTGTTAACTCTCCCATCGAGGCTCTGGCAATGGCACTGAAGGCCCAAATAACAATTTTGGTTTTTACAAGTGACTTGCCCATCGTAAGCCTTGTAAAGATAAACTGAAGGATTGTTAACAATAAACAAGAGTAGTTATGAGAATCTACTCGCACTTCGTTTGTTTATTGCATTATTTTTTTGTAATTGTGTGTTTTATATGTTTTTCAGAAAATATCTTAGAAATGATTTTGAGTCGAAAACCTCTAGATGGTACCAACTATGAATAAGTGAAAAGCAAATTTTTGATATTGTTCTAAAACATGGAAACTAAAATTTGTTCTGACAATGCGAGGGCCATAGCTACCTGCAGAGGATGCGTCTTAGGAAACTAAGATGC